TCCTCCCCCCCCTTGAAAGGGTGTACTTTCAATTACATGCAACACGAATAGATAATAACGTAAATTAAAATTGAATACCGCAAGCGTTATGCTTGTCACAAAAGGGCGAACATAAAGTAGAGGTGTTGCACATCGAATGTTTAGTTTAACAATATGAAAAATGAACTTATAAACTAGCTTAACACTAAAGTACCGCGTAACTTAGCTTAAACATAAAAGTTAAGAGTCTATTGGCAATATTGATATTTTGGACAGTGGTCTAACTAAAACACCATTTGACGTTTTCACGGTAGCGGATCGAGCATTGCCGTCAGAGTCATTGTGCACTTGTTCCACGCGTCCAAGCATCCAGTTCAACGGTGCCAGACCTTGCTGCTTTAGGAGCACCAGCTGATCCTGTTTCAATTGTCGGCCCTTGTTGATTTTCCACTTGTGACGCTCCTGCAGAGAATGCAGATATTCCGTGCTCCATCTGCGCCAGAAGTGCTGCCTTAGCTGCTCGACGCGCTGCCATCGCACTAGGCGATTTTCATTGACATCGCATAAATCGCTAGAAGGGAAACCATTCAAGAGAGTGCCAACCAAAAAGTGCCCGGGAGTAAGATACGTTAGATCGTTCGGATCCGAGCTTAATTGTGTGAGGGGTCTCGAATTCAGAATTGCCTCAACTTCGCATAAAACGGTTTGTAACTCCTCGAAAGTTAAATGTGCCCTCCCAATGATTCGGTACAGGTGATATTTTGCTGATTTTACAGCCGCCTCCCATAGCCCCCCAAAGTGAGGAGCGTTTGGTGGAATGAAGTTCCATGAGGTTCCCTGATTGCGTAAAAAATTGTTGATATCGGTTTGCACGCTATCACGACTTAGTGACTCATAGAACTCCCGCAACTGTCTCTGGGCGCCTACGAAGTTGGTCCCATTGTCCGAATAAATGGCCATGGGTTTGCCCCTGCGCGAAACGAAATGTTTGAGTGCCGCGATAAAGGCGTCAGAAGTAAGGTCGCTCACAAGTTCAATATGAACCGCCTTGGTGGCAAAACAAACAAAAACTGCAACGTAAGCCTTGCTGTGCCGAGCGTTACGACGTTTACCTTCGCGTATTAGTAACGGTCCGGCATAGTCTATTCCGCAATGATGAAATGGCCTGGAAACTGTTATACGCCCCGCAGGTAATGCGCCCATTATCGCTTCTGAGCTAGTCGGTTTAATTTTAAAACATGTGACGCAATTCTGCAAAGTTTTGCGGGTGACCGACCGCAGGGACAAGGGCCAAACACGTTGCCTTACGGCAGCCATAGTTGCCTGTAACCCAGCATGAGCATTGCGCTCGTGCTCTCTTAGTATGATGAGCCTTGTTAATGTATGGTTCCGCGGAAGCAATATCGGGTGACAGGTGTCAAATGATAGCTGTGCATTTTTTAATCTACCGCCCACACGAATCAGACCGTCGGTGTCTATGAAAGGTGACAACGATAGCAAATTGCTAGTTGTTCTGATAGTTTCACCCTTGATTAAGGCTCGATATTCTTCGGGAAAACCCGTTTTCTGCACCGCTCTGTACATAATATTCAAGGCGTAGGAAACTTCCGAGCATGTTATAAAGGCTGTGAGCGGATCGGATCTTCTAGCCTTGAAGAATCTTAGGCAATATGCCAAAATGCGACATATTTTATTTAGATTGGAATGTTTTGTTAACAGATCCTCTACTACGGAATTTTCAACGGTCGCGATGTGTACTGTAGTTCGGATCGATTCGGGAATATCGTTACTTAAAGTAGTAAATTCGCTGTTCGGCCAAAGTTTCTCGCGCGTCATTAAAAAGGCTGGGCCATTCCACCATATCGTAGAATCCTGAAGTTCACGCGGATGTAGCCCCCGAGACAATACGTCTGCTGGATTGTTGGCCGATGAGACATGACGCCAAGAATTGCCGTTTGTAAGACGCTGGATTTCGCCGACTCTATTGGCAACAAATACCGCCCATTTCCGAGATGACGAGGATATCCAGTTTAGAGCTATTGTAGAGTCAGACCAGAGAAATATTTGTATGCTAGATAACGTAAATGAATCCTTGATTTTGTCAATTAGCTGAGCTAATAAAAGAGCAGCCGACAACTCCAATCGGGGCAACGAGACTGCCTTAAGCGGGGCAACGCGAGACCTTGAAACGAGCAGTTCGCACCGAAAATTTTCGTGACCTATCTGTGTGCGTATGTAAACGCATGCTCCGAAGGCCCGTTGACTCGCGTCGCAAAAGCCGTGCATCTGTATTGACCTTGGCTCCGCGCTAAATTTGACGCAACGCGGAATTTGTAATTGGTTAAAATCTTCAAATTGAGACTTAAGTTTTTTCCACCGTTCGCTAATCTCTGGGGAAACAGATTCGTCCCAGTGTATGCCCGAATGCCACAGATCTTGCAACAGAAGCTTTGACAAGACTACGGCCGGGCCTAGTAAGCCCAACGGGTCAAACAATCGCGAAACTTCGGAAAGTATGACACGTTTTGATAGAATTTTATGTTCCTGGTCAGGAATGTAAGAAAAATGAAACTCGTCTAGAGATTGATTCCAATGCATGCCTAGGATTCGAGAATCAGATTCGCGATTGATTATGACCGTACTATTGTTTTGATCATGTATATTTTTTAATAATTCCGGAGAATTAGATGCCCATTTACTGAGTTCGAAGCATCCTGATCGTAATAAACTGATGGTTTCATCCCGCGCTCTAATTGCCTCGCTGAGAGAATCAGCTCCCGAGAGCAGGTCATCCACGTAAAAATCGCGCTCCACGCATACGGAGCCCATTGGGTAAGTATCGCGATTTGATTCTGCGAGATGTTTGAGGCATCTGGTTGCCAGATAAGAAGCGGGGGTGGTACCATATGTGACGGTTGCGAGTTCGTAAGTTTGCACTTCGGAAGATTGATCCTCCCGCCACAAGATTCTTTGATACCGCGCGTGCGAAGGCTCCACAACGATTTGGCGATACATTTTAACAATATCGGCTACAAATACATAACGGAAGGTTCGGAAACGCATTAAAATTGACATTAAATCCTGTTGGATTACCGGGCCTGTCAGGAGAATATCATTCAAGGAAACGCCGTTGCTAGTTTTACTGGACGCGTCAAAAACCACGCGAATACCAGACGATGGTGATGTACTCTTGAATACGCAATGGTGAGGGAGATAGAAGGATTCGCCTAAACTATCTGCCGAATCGTGTACTTGTTTCATATGACCGAGAGCTAGGTATTCATGCAAAAAGTGTGCGTATTGAGCTTTGAGATCTGGATAACGTTTGAATCGTTTCTCGAGATTATATAAACGTTTTAATGCGGTGTCCTTGGAGTCTCCGAGCCTGCCACTCGGCTGATCCTTGAAAGGGAGTTTGACAATATATCTGCCCTGGTAGTCGCGTGAAAAATTGCCTAAGAAACTCTCCTCGCAACGAGATTCTTCGTTAGTATAATGTCTTGAATTGCCAATAGTTTCGAGTTGCCAAAAACGCGCTAATTCTTCGTGCAATTGTGAATTGCTTATCGTCGCGTGAAAGGCTCGAATGCCTTGTGATCTGTGTGAAGGCGCGTTTAAGCGTCCTGCTAGTATCCATCCGAATCTGGTTTTTTGTAAAACCGGATGGTTGACCGAGGCCTTTATTTGACCGACGCATAATATTGACCAGAACATTTCCGCGCCTATAAGGATATCCACGTTAGCTGATACGTTGAAATTGGGATCGGCTAATTTAATGTTTCGCGGAATTTCAAAATCCTTTCGCTTGAGAGTGTAGGCGGGCAACTTGTCCGTTATCCTGTCTGTGACTATGCAATCTACCGTGGCGGTGAATGAATCTACTCGAGATTTGATTTGCACTTGCGCCATTTGTGAAGCCTGGGTTGCTGTATCATTAATACCGGTGATTGAAATATTTAATGAGCGTGGCTGAAGACCAAGAGCATTTAAATAACTCTTCGAAATGAAGTTGGCTTGCGATCCGCAGTCTAGGAGTATGCGGCAGGGTACGAGTGAGCCCGTGCTATTATACGCATGTGTGATCGCGGTAGAAAGAATTACCCCTTGATTGCTGCGTGCGTTTAAGCTGTGCGTTGCTACAACGTTAGATGAACTTGCCGCGTCAGACGTTTCGCGATTTTCTTTATCACTGACTGCGTGTTCGGTTGACGAGGTTGCCGCGAGATGCAGCAAGGTATTATGCTTAGACTTGCATATTTTGCAATTACCGGAAGGGCATTTGTTAGATGCGTGAGTTGTTGAGCGCAAACAATTGACGCAAATTTTCCTTTTACGCATCTCAGAAATTCGTTGTGGAATCGCGAGAGCTAAAAACTCCTTACAATAATATATGGAGTGTTCTCCGTGGCAATGACCGCATTTTGAATTAACCGTAGCGACACAGGCGGTTTGGCGACTCGACTGAGAACGCGGGTTATTTTTTGAATTGAGCGTGATTTTGCCAGTAGCTTCTAGCATCTGGCATTGACGCGTAATAAATTGTGTGAATGTTTGTAACGTAGGTAAATCGGTCGTATTTAGCGATGATTGCCATTCTCGAGATGTGCGCGCATCTAATTTATTGCTCAAAATGTATATGAGAAGATCATCCCAATGAGCTGTTGGACGCCCTAAAGCCTTAAGGGCATGAACGTGTCTCATAGCGCCGTCCGCAATTTGACGCAATTCGGCGGAATTCTCTTTATTCATACACGGCAATTCCATAATCGCTCGAATGTGCGTTTGCACGATAACGCTCTTGTGGTCGTACCTTTCTTTCAATAAATTCCAGGCCACCTCATAATTTAGCGCGGAAATTTCCAAAGATCTAATGACCGTGCTCGCGTCTTCCTTCAAACAGCCTTTCAAGTATTGCAGTTTTTGTACCGCGGTAATTGACTCATTTGTGTGTATGATCGATTGGAAGGCGTCGAAGAATGGAGACCATTCGTCGTATTTGCCAGAAAAAGTCGGAAGATCCAATTTCGGAAGTCTTACATGTGCTAACGATCGCGGCAAATCGAGATCACTCGAAGGAGATCTTGTTGTATCACGCGGCGGAGGTACTGAAGGTGCTGGAGACCTTAAGAGTTCTCGCATTTTCGCGGCTAATGCATAAAAAGCATCCTCGAAATTGATGCGATGATTTTCTTCGCGCTCGTCTAATAATTCGATTTCTGTTTGCACCGATTCATAGTCGGACATGTTTTTGTTTAACTTTACTCGTCGCTCCTCGAGCTGCGCGGCTATGGAAGGCGTGACGGTGACCGCGCCTAGCGAATCAACGAACGTCTTTATGCGCGTACACGAACTCTGTAATACCGCTCGCCGCCTTTTTAGAGTCGCGAGATCTTGCTCGTTTGCCATGACGCGAAATTAGATAAAAAAATATTCACTCACGACAAATAATTGGTTGGCAGAACTCTCAAGTGATTGCCCTTACCTTGTTTACAATATATATATATCTAGCGCTTTGATGAGGCGCTCGCCGAGAACAATGAGTGCGAGTTTCCAGGGGTGCTGTCGGGATGTCCGCCGGCGCCGTGGAGTCCTGGTGATTCCGTGATCGCGTGGTCGCCGTACTGGATCCTGATTGCAGCTTCCTCGAGAGAAGTGGCCCGCTCGTTCGTCCAAAATGGCTGCGTGCGTGTCCGCAGGGTCGGCAATGCTGCAGTGCCCGACACGTTCGAGGTTAGGCCGTGATTGCTGACCTCCTCGAGCTTGATTCTGAAGCTTGTCCGTACTCGTTGAGTTCCTTATGCCGTAGAATCCGCCAAGGATCCGGCTCGAAGGACCAAATGTTTCGTATTGGGCAGATGGGCCCTCCACGTGTAAGCCGCGGGAAGAGTGCCTCGTAGCTACGTGGTCGAGGAAAAAGTAATGTTCCTCTCGTTTGACAAAGTGTGTATATTTCGAAACTCACAGTATTGCGGACAGTCGCTTGCTCAGCCAAGCTTGCTTCCCTTACACAACTTCTTACAAGAATATTGCGTGCGACCACGGCTTGATGGTTCGCCAATGGTCGCGATCGGATGCGAAAGCTTCTCACACACACACGGTTGCGTTAATAATGGGGGGGAACAGAAGAAGTCTTGGGGGGAAGTGCCTCTTGTCGCGCCGCGGAAAGCTCCGCTAGGCCGGAAGAGAGGGGAAAGGCGAGCGCACGCGCGGGTGCTCACGCGGGAGGCTTAAGCGTACTAAACA